GTGGCAAATGAAGTCCTGCCCTGAAAAGCTAGGGATGCAGAAACAGCAAGGGATTCTCCTGCTTCACCTTTTTCCAATTACTGAAACAGGGAGCACGACTATGACAGTCTCATTTTGTTTCCCCACTGAGCTGCCTGCTTATCACATTGTGCAAATCTGTGCTGTCTGTCATCTGGGGAGACCTAAGTACATTGCAGCACATTATTCATTAATGTTTAACCCTCGGAAAAGCAGGACAATGTTACTATCTCCACTATACTAGGAGGGAAACCAAGACCTAAGCCCCAAGCCCCCATATGAAAGCCCTTTCCCAAGTAGGACAGCTATGGAAGGAGGCATCTGCACACCAGCCTGCTGCCCTGACACTGTCTCCATTCCTGTGTAAAGCATTGATGCAGGAGGGGGTGGAAGAGAGAATTTTCCAAGCCAAAACCATCTATTCCTGTCCTTGGTAACTACCACAGTTAAAATAGCACCCAGTTTTTATAGCCCAGAGCTAATTTAAAGGCCACTGAGGGACACAAGTTGTAAGCAGAGCCAACGGCTTCCCACCGGCTTCTCTCTTCCGCCCCTGCTCCCCAGCTGGAGGTACAGGGTCTCACACCTTCACTGCAATGCTTGTTAACTCTTAATCCCCAATCAGGTGTGGAAAACACCTGGGCTGGAGTGAAAGAGAAAAGGAAGATCCATGCTGGCTGCTACCATTTCTCTCTCCTTCATCTTCTGCTCTCCATGCACTGACTGCAAGAAAATCCCTGCCTGTCCTTGGGGCTGCACTGAAGTTCAGCATCATCCTCTGCTGGCTTCTTGGCAAGATCTGTCCTTACTTCCTCACCTCAGCTCTCAAGCACAGTATAGAATCATAGACTGGTTTGGGTTGGAAGGGACATTCAAGATGATCTAGTTCCAACCCCCCTGCCATGGGCAGGGACACCTTCCACTACACCAGGCTGCTCAAAGCCTCATCCAACCTGGCCTTGAACACTTCCAGGGATGGGGCAGCCACAACTTCTCTGGGCAACCTGTGCCAGTGCCTCACCACCTTCAGGGTGCAGAATTTCTTCCTTATATCTAATCTAAATCTGCCCTCTTTCAGTTTAAAGCCATTGCCCCTTGTCCTATACTTCTCCTGTGCCATGAGGCAGGAAGTTTCACTGGATGTCCATCATAGCTTATGACCTCAGAGACATCATTTTGCTCCCAAGGCAATCTCTGGCTGCTGCACTGTGAAACGCTCATCCCTTCATCTCTCCCCAGCCGAGGTAACCACCCCATTCTGCTGCCCAGTTAACCAGTGCCCAGATCAAATGTCTTTTCAGCTCAGGAAAGGGAAGGGTTCACATGTTGTTCAACTGCACCAACAGTGCTATGAAGTCCAAAATGGACTTGATACTCCCTAGAAATCTTGGGATAACATTTCTCTCCACTGTGTATATATAGAGAGAAAGTGCTCAGATGCTGTGCTGCTTTTCCCCAGCACTTCCCACCTAGACGTGGCAGGATGGGAGCTGGAGGGTTCGCTGTCTCATAAAACTGCCTGTCTCCAGCCAGCTGGGGTGTGGGAGGAGACGGGGAAGAGATGCATCGAGGAAAAAGGAGGCATCAGTCAATCATTCCTTTTCAGGCAAGGGGTTAGTTACGCTACAGTTTCTTTTCTAAACCGTTTGCATTTGCACTTAGGGGGGTAAAAAGAAACAAAACCAGAACTGAAAATGCTCGAGGGAGTCTCTGAAGTTCCAAACCTTGTATGCCACCCTATGAGGGCACTTCTTTCCTAAGCCCAGGGGTGGAGCAATTACACGTAACAAATTGTACATATCCTTATAATGAATCCGGCAACTGGAAAGAAAACATCAGACATTATGACAGCAAAACACCGAGAGGAATCAGTTTTTCCCAAGGCAAACAGGAGAAGTTGGAAGGGCAAAACACGCTGAAAAGCAAGGGTTAGTGTGACAGCAACTGGGCTTGCGATGAAGGAGGCAACTTTAACACAGACCGAGAGAGAGAGAGAACTTGCAACTGCTCAACAAAAGCTACATCATAGAATTATAGAATGGTTTGGGTTTGGAAGGGACCTCAAAGACCATCTAGTTCCAACCCCCCTGCCATGGGCAGGGACACCTTCCACTACACCAGGTTGCCCAAAGCCTCATCCAACCTGGCCTTGAACACTGCCAGGGATGGGGCAGCCACAGCTTCTCTGGGCAACCTGTTCCAGTGCCTCACCATCCTCAGAGGGAAGAATTTCTTCCTTAGATCTAATCTAAATCTCCCCTCTGTCAGTTTAAAGCCACTGCCCTTTGTCTTATCACCATATACCTTTATAAAAAGTCCCTCTCCAGCCTTCTTGTAGCCCCTTTAGGCACTGGAAGGCTGCTATAAGTTCACCCTTGAGCCTTCTCTTCTCCAGACTGAACAGCCCCAACTCTCTCAGCCTGTTTTCACAGCAGAGGTGCTCCAGCCCTCGGATCATCCTTGGGTTTTCTTCTGTGAAGCCTTCAGTGCCATATGCAAGGCTTTCCAACCATTGCATCTGGTTGCCTGACCATCTGCCTCCAGAAGGTCCATACCCATCACCCAGGTGCTGCAGCAGCCCTGCAAAACCAGAGCCCGTAGCACACAAACAATCTATTTACTGGATTATTACTGGGATTCAAATTAGTTCGTTCAAAAGAGCTGGGAAACCTTCACCTTCCACTTCTACCACCTACATAACCCCATCAGGGCTGTAGTCTGCTGCATGGGCAATAAGCAATTTGCTGGAAGTCCAGAAACTGTCACCTCAAGAGTCGTCTCAGGGCCATCAGCCCTGGGAAAATTCAGCCTTCATTACCAGTAGGTGAAATCAGACGCCTCGAGGTAGCTTTATGGTCAATCTCATTAACTCCCAGCAATATTTTCAGCTAATTTAACAGCAGGATTAGATTTCTTAATCTTTTGTAAGTAACCAAATCATGTACAAAAAGAGCTGTACTGAACTGCAAAATGACCTCTAAAGGAAAACGAGAGGATTTGGCTTCACTATGTTTATTTTGGTATGTTATATAAAGGAGGCTGGAATATTTTGGAATATCTCCTTCAAAATTACTGGTTTTCTGGACTTGAAAAATTAAGGTCTATTCAAAACCTTCACAATCAACTCAAAACTATTAATTTAGAAACGGATCGAATGGAATTGTGCAAGCCTTGGCTGCAGGCCTAATCGTGGTTATAAAAAAGTATATTGGTTTGACTGAGTCTAGAAGTTTACCGAAATTTTAGAAAGGTTTTGTAAAATCAGCATGTAGAAAATACGAATGAACAGTTCCCTGAGCTCTCTAAGAGTCTGTGGAAGGCTTGAAAACCAGCAGATGTATTGCACTGGCAGGTCACGGCAGCAAATTATGGCAAATTATGGCAAATTATGGCAAACGGGGATTATTTCCCAGGTTGTTTAAATCTGTTTGAATTTTACTTATTTTCATCATCATCCTTTTATCTCAGATAGGCACGAAAAAGCTCCCTTTTGTGAGTGCCTGCATCACCTCTCAACCACTGAACATGCTGCCAGTAGCAACTCCCTCGGCTCTCGGGAGTAACTAATAGGAATGGGATGGCAAGACCAGCATTGCCAGTATCTCTAAGGGGTAGGCACTGGGCAGGGGGGTATTAGAGAGATAAAGCGCTCACTTTATGTATTTTGAACAAATAAAAGTAGATATACATCCTTTTTTTTTCCCTTTTCCGGTTTATCCTTAAACTGGATTAAAAAAAATCCAATGTTTTTGCCCATTCCTGGTTAACTTGCAGTCCTGGACCAAACCACTGTGTGTGCCTCAGTTCTCTCACTCTCTCTTTTTCTGAGTCTGAAGCTTCTGCCACCCCTAAATCCAACAATTTCCCCATACTTACCCCTACTGAGTGTGACACATCTAGAGCAACAGCTGCTAGCTGCTTTTTTTTACTTCCTTTTGAATGTTTTTCCCCAGAAAAGTTTACAGAAAGTTGGATTTTGTAACAGAAAAAAGGTGACATTGGAAATAAGTATGCAAATACACACACATTGAGCTTATGTTTAAAATAGTCTCTATATAATGAAAATATAACCACATTTGTACTTTTGACCCATGCAGCATCTTTCATCAAGGGTCTCAAGCTGCAGAAAGTGGACAAACACTGTAATTCTCGTTTCCTTGGGATAATCAAAGAAGATATCTTGAGAGAGACCATTAATTAGGGAAAGATGAGAGCAGGAACCTGCATCTAAGCATGAGATAACACTGCCCAGGAGTCGTCTTTCTTGCAAATTATTCTGTGCTGATTATTTGTCGTTCCCCTCACATGTCTACACTGGGAGCTGAAACGCTAAAAGGAAGACAGCTGACATGGGAAACAAAAATTAGACAGACATTTTCTTTCAATGAGTTTGACCAACCAGCAGCTGAACAAAAAATGGGTCCTTGAAAACCCTGTGTCTTCAGATCCGAACGGGGTGTACTGCTGGGAGCCGTACCTTAAAAGACAAGTTATTCAGCTCAGTCCATGGCGAGTTATTGGGAAATACCATGTCCAGAGCTTCCCAGGAGCTCTGCCCAAACGATCAAAAGATCTGTTCTAGCCTTAAACAGTGAATGGATTTCAGATTACTTTTAAATTGCGGAAATGTTAGTCCCACTTATGAAATCAGAAGTGATTTCAGTGGAACCAGTCACACACGGAAAATCCAGAACATGCACAGGTTTTAGGATCAACCCTCGAGCATCATGTCTTGGCTGTCCCTTGACTCGCACTTCTTCCCCCGGTCACTCTGCCAACATCAATAGCTTCACATCAGAGGGAAATGGGAACAAGGTTAGAGAAAAACAGAATTAGGATCTTGATGTATGACGTATTTTGTATTAACAGCTCTAGAAGTGAAAAGGTTTGGCCTCTGAGTGACTCATAAACTGTAACCTCTGCGCTCAGAGTTAATACAGTGAGCAAATCTTTCTGCAAACTTTGTGCCTCTTATGGGTGGAAAGTTCCTGAACACATACACATTAAAAAAGGACGTTGATACTTATTTCTGCCTTGCAGGTGTGTCACTGCTCCCACGGATGCTAATCAGAGCCAAGGCTATTTTCAAAGGAGAGAGTGGGCACTCCCAAGTTTTGAGTCTCAATGAGATTCTTCTCATGGCAAGAGATAAGACTGAATTTGAAAAAGAAAAAAAGCTATTTAGTGCCTGCCAAATACCCACAAAGGACTTGTCTGTGTTACAGAGCACGTGGTAATGAATATCTACTTGGAGATTACAAGCTGCTAGTATGTGTGCAGTGTATACGCAGGCTCGTAGTACGGATGGCTTTGAGCTAGTTGAAATCACCCACAGTTCAGAGAAACGCAGTCATTTTAGAATAGGTTTACATTTAAAGTTAGCCTACACCAATTTAAGTGAGATTTTAAAGCTGTTTAATTGCATCCTAGCAGGGAGTTGGAGATGCTGATTATACAAACGCTTTCTGCATCTGTCTCTACTGAAGGGAAACAAAAAAGAGTGGAAAGACTGGAGGGGCTGGAGGCAGCTTCGTTACAAACACAGAGGAGATTCATTGCAGAGTAACTCGTGGGGAGGAAAATGGATACAAAATTCGTAGGGCTTTAAATAAAAAAAAAAGTCTCCCAACAGGCAAGTTCCCAAGCTGCAGAATATCAAGGAAATTACTGTATCTCAGAGCATCTAGAAATTAAAATAACACAGTCACCAGGACTGTTGTGCAGCAGCTTCTCTGGGCAATGGAGAAAAGCAATATATTAAAGTCAGCCTCGCTCTAGAAGCGATCGCTGGTCAGAGCCATTCTCTAATTTTTAAAAAATTCCTTAAAATGCTTCAGCAGTGGTCCTGGGGTCTGGCACAGCGCAGTGCCTTGGTGCTTAAGCCCAGATGTGCAGCTTGCCCTGAGAGTATCTTTGAATAAGAAAAACAAAGAGATAAACCCATCAAACCAAACACCTCACCGTGTGGCTGCGAGAAAACCATTTCCTCCTTTAACACACTTGTATATCGGGAACGTTTTATCAGAGGCTCACTGAGAACTGAAATCCTTCCAAAGTTAGGCTTATGGCATTTTCTTGTTATTATTTCACACGTCTTACGTTTCAACTGAAGTCCAAAAGCTAAAACATTTTTTAGAAGAACAAAATTCCCCTCTACCATTGGATGTCATTATAAGGAGGCTTCTGAGATCAAAACCTCGGGTTTGATGAGAAACATCTCTTTAAAAATCACCTGTATTCAGCAAACCACCCTCATGTTGAGGAACACAATGTCACTCCCTGCTGCCTCCCACGTGGGGAAAAGCAAAGGATGGGTCTGAGCCTGCAGCACTTGACTCATGCAAAGCCGTGGGATACGGTGTCTCCTTTTACAGGAGAGATAGTGCCTTGAAAACCTGAATATTTTGTGTATGTGGCTGCAGGTCTCTGCACAGGATTTGTGAAACCTTTAAGGTGAGTCTCAACCAGGAGAGAAATGCTGCAAAAATGAGCTATGCCAAGGCTTGGCCTCTCTAGTTACCTAAAGTGCTGCCAACGACAAGAGATTCGGCGTATTTTTATCTCCAAACTGGGATGCAGAAACCAAAGGCAATCAAAGCTCCTTGTGGAAATGCTAAACAGTTTTTCTACTTGGCCATCTAGCCAAGATCATTTGAATTTAACTCTATTTATTTTTGGCCACATGTATTTGGTGAGGAGGGTGCGTTTTGTTTTCTTGGTTTGCCGGTTTATGTCTATCCCATGCCTATTGAAGGAAATGCCCTTGTAATCATCAAACATCAGGTTTGTTCACCTCCAGTGCACAGGGGATTGAAGTTGAAGCATTTACCACCAATGTTGCCTCAAGCTTTGGAGTCATTTTCCCTCTAGAGCTGTACTCACATTAAAACAGGCTGTTTGATCGTACAGGTACGGCATTTATACACGACGTACATCCCTTTCCCCACGTATAACAGCGTACATACCAGGCAGCTGGGTCATATTCAGCCCAGACACGAACAAACTCATCCAAATGATGGGGCCCAAGGATGGAGGAGTCTCTTGTCAGGTATTCAAAATTGTCCATAATCACAGCCACAAACAGGTTTAACATCTGCAGAGAGGAAGCGATCATGCAGTTAGAGAGAAAAGAAAATAAAAGAGAGAGAAAAGAAAATAAAAGAGAGAGAAAAAATAACTGGAAGGGGGGCAGGTATGATTCTGTGTGTGGTTTCTACAAGAAGCCACCACACTCTGGAGAATAAACTCTACAAACTCATCCCTGGGGACCCTGCTGCCACCTCCTCCTCCCCTGCGTGCTGCAAGCCGCTTCCAGCTCCGCAGTAAGTGGCCAGTTTGCCACAGCTTTTGACCGCAGGTGGTTTGGCCCTGTCCCCATGGCTGGTGATGCCCTCCAGCATGACCCATCCCAGAGCCCGCGGGGCTCAGCACCGCTCCCTTGCCCCTTCTCGACCCCACGCCAGCACAGACCAGCACAGGGGCTGTAGTGGCTCCTTCACTGACCAGGTGGTGTGAACCCTTCTAGCACTTTCATATCAGGGCACATCAAGTCAAGAACAGTTAGAAGAAACAGATTCTTCAGCCTAAATGTCCTCTTTTAGGCCCATAACAAGTCAGACCTTCAAAGATCCCTGGAAAGATGAGGGGCAGGACACACAAAAGGCTCCTGTCCCTAATAGCTGCTGTCTAAGGCAGAGCCCGGCAAACGCTTCTGGCAGATGAAGATTCTCCTCTTATCAAAACCAACGGAAGAGGCACAAGGATTTCAACGGGAAGAGATCAAGCAGCACCCAGCAGAATGGAAGAGCAGGAGGGCAGGTGGGAATGGATTCTCCTGTGCCGGATAAAGCCCTGAGAGGCACAAGGCCCCTTTCTGCCTTCGTTGTGTCTTGTAGGGGGCTGAGCCGCTGCCGTGAGCGCTGCTCCTCCGCACCGCGCCGAGCAGGGACTGCGGGAAGCAGCCTGGGGGCTCTCGCACGCGGATGAGCGGAATGAAACTAAGCATGGACGTCCGCGGCCGGTCTGCCAGTCGTTAAGGGAAAACCAGGCAGTGGAGTTTGGCGTTTCTACAGTTTTAAAGAATTTGTATTCCTGATCTGGAGGGAGGAAGGGGTCTTCGCTCTTGCTGGGACACGCAATCCGCCAGTTCAGAGAAGCGCAGTCCATAATGAATCACCGTACCACCACCAAACGCCAATCAGCGACTCCACAGTCTGTTTTTCAGAACCCACTCCAACAGAAAGCGAGGAGAGGATCCCAGCCCCCAGCATATCTATGTCTACATGAGTGCACTGGGGTTTCTTACACCACCCAAGGGTGGTCTTCGGCACACAGCTGAGTGCACACCAATCCCACCAGTGCCTCAGCTGCAAACAGCACATGTAAAAATTGCTCCTGCAACAACGTGCGTGAATTCACTCCTGTGGCTGAGTGTTCGGGTTCGTCCGCTCGGATGCAGCACCACACCAAACACTGCTGGGTTGGGGGACCAAGCCAGTACTTGGTGCCACTCCAGTTCCTGGATGCTCACAAGGTCTCCATGTGACAAAGCCTAGACCAGCCCCGGGATGTCATTGCGGTGCAGCAGGCAGTACCGGACAGGGATGTCCAAACCAGCTCTCAATAAGCTGCTCGAGGGCTAGCAGCACTGTAACCACATCAGTAGGGCTCGCTCGCGTGCTGCAGGGACCCCAGACATAACACAGTACCCCTGGAGCATCAGGAGACAACAAAACTTTCAAGAGTTTGCCCCTTGATCCCAAGTCCCTTTCCAAGTCCCAGCTCCAGCCCTGGCTCGGAACAGTTTACCCTTGCTTGTATACAGCTGTTTCTAACATTCCCGTGTATTTTTAAATTTCAGTTCCTATTTTTCAACAGTATAAATTACAGGAGGAAAACAATGTCAGGCTGGACATCCACAAAGAGCCAGAAACAACACTCAAATCCAAATACATTATCCAATTCCCCCCCCGTCTACGGTGTAACAACATGGAACAAACCAGAAGAACGTGTCCTTCTGGCACGGCTGTGCCTCTGTACCGCGTTAATCACTTGTGGGGAACCACATGTTCCATTGCAATGAAGTGCTGAATGCATTTTAAGAAATGAGTTACAGCCCTGTCCTGTGGCAGTCCAGCTGCTTGGCGTTCCGCTGCCTATTTTCGGAGCCTGCCCTCCCCACCCGTGCTCTTTGCAAGGGCTCTCCCCTCTCTGCCAGCCAGCCTGGGCTGCGGTTTCCCAGGGTTTTCCGGGAGCTGACTCAGGGATAAAGCTCATCCAAAGCTGTATTTTGCGCAGATGGGCTCCAGCCTCCAATTCTGCTACTACATTTCGAGTGGAACGGCCGATGTGAGCCAGGGAGGGTGAGTCTGGGGGGGATGTTGTTGGTTTGTTTTTAAAGAAAAAGCCTGAGGAACAATAACACAGTCGAAAATAACAACAAGAATGTCTGATGTTGGATTAGGGATTTGTACAAGGAAAAAATTTGGCTTTAAAATACAGAGTGCTGAAGGAATCAGTAAATGGAGCATTAACTTTATATCAGCTTTCAGGGCTCCACATTTTTTAATATATGCAGAAGAAATAAACCACGGGATGTCAAAGGGGCAACAGCAGTAGAACGCAGGATCTCAGAAGGGGCTGTTGATGTCGGTCTGTCTACACCCAGCATCAAACTGCCACGTGTACCTCTTTTTCCTGCTTAAAGGTTTCTGACGACAGCAGGGATTAGTTGCAAGAAGAATCAAACCTCACATTTTAAAGCAAACCCATGGAACTGAACATAGGTTTGAGACATTGTTTTTCAGTACATTTCAGAGCTGCGACTTTCATCTCTTCCTGCTTGAGGTTTAATTGGGTCCCTGTCCCTGGTTTTCCATTCCTCTGTCCCAGTGGTGCAAGAAAGTGAACCAAGCCCCAAGAGCAGAGAGCTTTTTATGCATGCAAGTGATCAGAAAGAGACTGGCACATATTAAAGCTTAGACCCAGCCCGTACGATGGCCACGGGCATGAATCAAGCCCAGCAGCTCTGTGTACTTTCATGTCTAAAGCTTTTCCAACGCCGTTGCAGAAGAAAATGAGATCACTGCATTTATTTGACAAACAAAATAGAACACAAAGCGTCAAATAAGTGTGATGCTCCCAGCTGCAAACCCTTCTGAACCAACGTTATCCTGGCTGTTCTCACCCTGCCCTCCCCAATCCCCTCCTTCAAAAGACTGTGTTACAAATCAAGACAAAACAGATTAATGCTTAATTCCAAATATTAGACTTCCCTGTGGGAAGAAAGATAAAAACCTTCCCTTTAAACTAATGGCTAAATGATCTCTTTGGGGATTAAAGGGATTTTATCACCAGGATGATAAATGGTTTTTAGTGAGGCTGGCTTGTAATGTTGTATAAATCATAATTAGGAAGAAGGATGAAGCAAAGGAGTGGGGAGGGGAGGGAACCACACCGTCAGCTCCACTTCGGGAGAGGTCAGGACCGACTTACCAGGAAGGAGCACAGGAAGATGAATGACACGAAGTAGAAATAGGCAAAATCGCTGCCACATTCGTTTTTGGTGAGGCCGGAGAGCGGGTCGCAGGCTCTGTTACTCAGGCACGACAGCATGATCTCGTGCCAGGCTTCCCCCGTGGCGCTCCTGCAGACGGGGAGGGCAGAGGGTCAGTTATCCAACCCCCTCCCCATCGCAGACCCTGGGGGCATCCACCGGGTATTAGTGCGCCCAATTAACTAAATTAATCAGGTGAAAAGCTGTGTCCGGGTGGAGAGACTGAATTTACATTTGGAATCTAAAGTGCTGACATGACAAAGGAAGGAGAAAGAATATCTCCCTCTGTCACAAGGAGTGAAAGAAACGGAGCAGGCGCAGGCAGGCTGAGCTTCATTGGGTTTATGGAGAATAAAACCAGATCGATTTAAACATGTCAAGTGCAAAGTGCAAATGTAAGTAAACAGTTTGGATGGTTTCCTTTTAAAGCAGCTGACATCTCTGTCCTAGTGCTGGCTGCAAACCCAACGGAGGTGATGGGAAACACAGCCCAGCTTCTCCACTCCATCTCTTATCTCCTTTACCAGGTAGATACAGAAATACCAGGATGGTCTGGTTGGTCATAGTGACTTGGGTCAGGTTGTCATGACAATCCCTTGGGTTTTCTTCATCGTTTCCTCCTCCCTCTCATTTTGGGTGGGAGAACTGAAGTAACAGGTAGGTGTACTCCAACCAAATCCTAACTTCTACTGCTACTATAAGGAGAAAAGTAACCAAAAGGCAAAACTTTGCAGTCCCAGAGGGTCTATCCTCACAATAAAGCACCCCCTGTAACATGCACATGTGGATCAGAAACTGGAGGATCCCCGTGTTGGTTTACTCTGACTTTCTACATAACCTCAGATTTTTCTCCCCATAATATCTGCACCAGTCTCAGAGGTGCTTTGAGGGCATCCCTGCACAGCTGGCTGCAGGGCTCTCACAGCTGGGCAAACTTGCACACAGAGCTGGCAGACAAGCCTTCCTCCTGCTCTGTGATTAGTGTAAATTGCAACAACTTTCAGGGTACTCTGTGTTGTACAGCAGATTCCTCCACTGGTGGCATTTAGCCCTGAAGCCCCATTCCCTCGCGTAGAAACCCGCTGCCCCTGCCCGCTCTGACCCACCGCGGCTGCCGTGGGTCTGGAAAGGGACCGAGAGGTCTGGACATGAGACTGAACAATTATCCAGTTTTATTAAAATTCAAACTTTTGAGTGGAGTGATTATCTTGAGCTAGCGAGGGCTAATATCGTTTCTGTCTGGCTTCACAGAAACTATGCAAACCAAATCTCTGGCCAGACACCCAGTTACGAGCGCCGCGGAACTGGTGGGACCGAGCGGCGGTGCGGCTGCCCGCGTGGGGCCGGGGCAGTTATTAACCGCCGTGTCTCCGCACGCGGCCGGATCAGGGAAATCTTCCCCAGGCTGCCCCAGTTTGGAGCAGGGCCTGCACTTCTGTTTTGCCAGGTCTGAAAACGAAAATCTGTCATTTCATTGATTTTTTTTTTTTTGAAAAATGCTTCGTTTCCAGGTGGAATGAACCCAGATGGAAACACTTTCACTCTGAAGCAGAGGTGGCGTTGATGTACGAAGGGTTAACGTGTTGGTAATGCAAAAATGACCAGTTAAAGGAATTCTCGCTCGGAAAAATAAAGGCGAGCGTCATGCCAGGAACCACACTGATGACTTCAACCAGGGGGGGTTCTGTCTTGTATTAAGCTTCTGCCTGAGTTGACACAGGCTGTCACAGCACCGGGTGTCACTTTGGGGAGACGCTGGTGTGTTGGATGAGATCTGTCAC